TTACAACTATCAACAAACGTACAAAGAATATTTTGGTCCACCATATGATAGTCGACATTGGACACAAGACGGGCCACGAATATTACCTCCTTTGTATAAAAGGTCAGTGGGGCGCCCACGTACTGTACGAATTAGAAATAGTATGGATGACGGTCGTGAAGGAATTAGGAGGAGAAATAAGTGCAGTAGATGTGATCAACCGGGCCACAATAAAAATAGTTGTCTAGCTAGGATTAGGCGTTGATTTGTAATTTGTGGCATTTCGTACTTTGTTTGTTTCCGTCTAACATTCATAATTATAATTTGTAGCGTTTCGTACTATATTTAGGATCTAATTTTAATGTTTGGTTTCAAATTATTCCTTCTTCACATTGCGCATTCATTTGTTGTAATATATTTTTTATATATGACTCAGTCAGTCATTCAACTAAAATATCTAACACATTGTACATTATCCTCTAATATTTTAATCTTAGATATATTCATTATGGATCCGGGACCGATACATCCCGACGTTTTGTACCTCCAGGCGAGTCATTGTTCAGACCATATTGGCTCAGGACAGGTAAAACGTTTTTGGTATATATATTCCTTAGCATTAGCACTAATTTTAATTTTTTCAATATACTTAATCAATTTTGTTTCGCGTGCAGCTCGTACCAGACATCACCATGGTCGATCATTCCAGAGTCATTTGGCTTGGGTCATTGAGGATGAGAGAGTACTACAGCTGATAGCTCAGGCCGGGTTTCGGGAGTGTTTGACAGTGTGATATATTAGGCTTGATTGGCCGCTTTTTACTGTACTGATTGAGTGGTGGAGGCTAGAGACCAACACCTTTCACATGCATATAGGAGAGTGTACCATCACCTTACAAGACATAGACGTCATACTTGGGCTCCGCATCGATGGCCCGGCAGCTACGGGCACCGATGACCAGGTAAATATAACGTATATGAGTTACGTTATGTACAGAACATGCACAGGCTGTTGTGCATGTTTTGTAAAACTTGCAACTCTACGGGAGTTCATATACGTTACGTACAGAACATGCACAGGCTGCTGTGCATGTTTTGTAAAACTTGTAACTCCACGGGAGTTGAACTCCCGTGGTGTTGCAGTCAAAAATTTTTCGAGAGTTGGCTCTCTGGAAATTCGACTGAGACTCCACGGGAGTTTAACTCCCGTGGAGTTTTTTCACTGTAACAAACTTCAAGGGAGTTGAACTCCCGTGAAGTTTGTTCAACAAATACAACTTCACGGGAGTTTAACTCCCATGAAGTTTATGAATTTTTTTCTTTCAAAAACCGACCTAGTTTCAGCGCCAGGGCTGAAAGGTTGGTTTTTAAAAATAAGTGCAAAAGAGGTTATTTTTTGGGACTAAATGTTGAAAGGGGTTGGTTTTAAAAATTTGTCCATCTAAATGAGGGAGAAAGAGGGTGGGTCCCAACTTTTTTTTTGAGTTAGTGCTCATATAAGATTGCCCATTAGATCTAGGGCTGAGATGTAGCCACCAAGGCTCATCCTTAGATGCAATCTAAGGAGCCACCTTAGAATTATATATATATATATATATAAGAAAAATATAGGAACGTGGTACCAAGCACAAATTTCATGCTTGGTAGTGAGGTATCTCATTTCTGTCCACTCTTTAATGCATGTGAATGTGGTTCCCCATTTGAGTGAGTAGATGAGAATGAGTCACCTTACTACCAAGCAGTTGGTACCAAATTCCTTCATATTACTATATGTGTGTGTGTGTGTAGTGTTTATATTTCTGTACATCAATGCTTTGAATATTTGAAATTATGTGAGCTAAGTTACAGGTTTTGATATTTCTTTCCATTTGAGAAATATGAAGAGTAGGAATGTTTCAACATGGATTGAGAGTTATTCTTACTTTGTAATGCTCAGCCATGTATATTCTTCTGATTCCTATTCAGTTCTTAGTATTATCTCATTTTGAATCATTGATGAACTCATCTTTTAAGCTTTCTTTCATTTGATTTTATTTATATGGTGATTCGTATTTTCACTATTTAGTCCATGCAATCTAAGGAGCCACCTTAGAATTATATATATATATATATATAAGAAAAATATAGGAACGTGGTACCAAGCACAAATTTCATGCTTGGTAGTGAGGTATCTCATTTCTGTCCACTCTTTAATGCATGTGAATGTGGTTCCCCATTTGAGTGAGTAGATGAGAATGAGTCACCTTACTACCAAGCAGTTGGTACCAAATTCCTTCATATTACTATATGTGTGTGTGTGTGTAGTGTTTATATTTCTGTACATCAATGCTTTGAATATTTGAAATTATGTGAGCTAAGTTACAGGTTTTGATATTTCTTTCCATTTGAGAAATATGAAGAGTAGGAATGTTTCAACATGGATTGAGAGTTATTCTTACTTTGTAATGCTCAGCCATGTATATTCTTCTGATTCCTATTCAGTTCTTAGTATTATCTCATTTTGAATCATTGATGAACTCATCTTTTAAGCTTTCTTTCATTTGATTTTATTTATATGGTGATTCGTATTTTCACTATTTAGTCCATTAAATCATATCCTTTCGCGGTACTTGCTATCATCAACTCTGACAGATTTTTTATTATTTTGTTCTTTTTCTTATCTTCTACATGTGGTTGATATATTCTAGCGTAAAGAGCTAATTGAGTCGGAAACATTGGTTTTACATGTATATATTAGTTATATTTTGGATTTGGAAGTAAATTTTAGTTTCTATTATTTTTCTCACGAGATCATGTTTTAAATGAATTTTTATATTCCTCAAATTTATATTTTAAAAAGAAATATTTTACAAATAAGCAGCTTATGTATATCACTTGAATTTGGTAGTCAACCAAGTGGTGTGCTACCAACCTAGTCATGTGCGGTCTCGGAGTGTGATAGTAATTTAGCCAAGTTTTTATTTCCTCATGCCATGTGTTTCTTTTGTAGGAGTTACTATAAGTGCACAAATACAGATTGCTTGGTACTCAAGCTCGTAGAAAGAGCATCGCAAGATCTCTAGTCAGTGATCACAATATACGAAGGTAAACACAACCATGAAATACATGCCGCCAGGGATCTACAAGCTCTACCCCCTCTCAAACATTTTGGCCTCAAGATACTTTCACTGGATACAATGCCGACTTCTTCTTCTTATCTGTAAACCTTGCAATGTTCATGTGTTATCTTAAGCTCATGATGGAGTGTTATGAGAAATTTCCAAGATAAACAAATATCAATCACACGAAAGCATCGAGAACACAAATAACACACAGATATATGTGATTCAGCTTGTAGCCTGCAAATGGGGAGAATGGTTTTACTAACAAATTATGAATATTATAATATAGAGATCTCTCAATCACTAATCTCAAATCACACCCTCAAAATTAAGTGATTCAGCTTGTAGACCAAGAACTTGTGAATTTTAACTGATGCACATCCAACAGGGCCGGCCCTGGGGTAAGCCCACCAAGCCCTGGAGCTGGGGCAACCCAGGGTCGGGGGGGCAACCCATCCCGAGCGTTCCTACACCCCCTCAAACTTTAATTTTCTTTGATTTTTGAAGTAGGGATTGTAAAAGGGCCTTTATGAAAAAAAATGATAAGGGTTATATTTGTAAAGAACTCTAGCAATGACCAACTTTTATTTCCGTCAGCCATTCCCAAATCCAATTTCCCCCGTCTTTGACTCTCTGTCCCGCAGCTCCCGTTCACAAAAAAAGAAGAAAAAAATAAAAAACCCTCCTCTCCTCCAGTCCTCCTTCCCGAGCCGCCGTCGGTGGCTCCTCTCCTCCCTACCGAGCCG